TTGGGAAGGCTTAGTGTTGGAATGTTTTCCTTCATTAAATCGTCGCCTGAGAGATGAAGATAGACATTATCTGCACATCCAGCAACTTAGCTCTCCTTATTTTTCATTCATTCCTCTCTCTTATTTGCAGCACTGTGTTTAACATGCATCCCCATCTTTACAGTGTGGGGTAATTAATTTATTTCTTTATCTGCTCTTTCTCACAAGCAACTCCTGGCTAGCTTACTGTCAAATCCATTTCACAGAATGGTCTGCCTGAATTCTTTGTGTTATCTGGGTAATTTTTCTTCTTGTTGCTTGGCGTCATCTAACCACTGACATGAGGCTGTTACGGCTTTTCTCTGACTTGGAATGGAACAGAGCTTGTACCCACCCATGTTCCTGAGTCCTCTTATGGGACTCTTCTCTGTCCTTCTGTTTTTTAAAACCATTTCTGTCTCTCCATTCTTTTCCAAGTTCTCCTTGGGTTTATCTCCTTTCCCTCATTCCTTCATTGCTAGACCGAAGCCACCAGAACACACATAGTTCAGTACCGCTCTGGGCTTACGGCCAGCTTCACCAGAGAGACTTGAGCTGGCATGGAAGTTAGTTAGTTTATTTAGGCTCTGACTTTTTATAGTGCCTATCAGGCAAATGCCTACCTGAATGTTTAATGTTTAAAAATAAAATTAAAGTTCAAATGGGCCCTGGCTTTGCAAGAAGCACCCCAGGTTCTATAAACCCTTTTCTTGGTAACATGTTTCTTTTCCCAAGTTCTCACTTTTGTGCCTTATTCTTTCTTCCTTCCCACCTTTTGTACCCACCTGCTGCACCCATTCAGCTTCAAGTATTTTTTTTAATTAAGTTTTATTGGAATATAGTTGCTTAACAAGCTTCAAGTATTTTGAACGGTAGTTCCCGTTTGCAATGTGGAGCCTTTTTCTGTCTTCTTTTCAGAAGTCTGGTCTCTGATAGTCTTTATGTGTGATCTCAGTAAACATAAGATTGTGTGTGTGTGTGTGTGTGTGTGTGTGTGTGTGTGTAGGAAGCCTGCCATATTTCCTCCCTACCCCACAGAAAATGTGTTTTCTGGAAGCCCTTTTGACACTGAAGTGAATGCCCACTGGCCCTCCCTTGAATTCTCCAGAGAGGAGAGAGAGAGAGGCCTTTATGCTTGTTGTCATATCTTTTGTTTCTGCTGATTATACACAAAGTAAGTTGTAAATAGCTCTCTTGCACACCGTGATTCCTTTGAGGTATGTACAGAAGAGAAGATATGCACTTAGCCCCGGCTTCCCAGGGGATGCTAGAGGGTCCCTTTCAGGGCCTCTTACTTCCTGTTAGGGCACCGGCCGAATGAAATTTAGATGAGTGCTAGACAATTACCATCCGTAATGAAACCCTCAGCCTAGTGTTTAGACATGTCAGCTGATCAGGTTAGTATTTTTCTTTGTATTTAAGGTAAATGTTTTTATTTAAGATCAAAATATACAAAGACGCAAAAAAGAATTTTAAAAAGTCCTCTTAGTCCTACTACTTGCCAGAGATAAAAATCACCATGAAAATTGTGAAAATCATGGTAAATTTTGTTTTAAAGTATGATGTTGAAGTGCACGCTGAATATTAGCATAAAGACAAGAGGAACAAAGCTGGAATTCTCCAAATCAATTTGAATTTTCAATTGCATTGAAAGCAGGGGTAGATATCCTATTTTAGTATCTTAAAGTGGAATAAAAACTAGTTAAGGGGAACTCCCTGGCTGTTTAGTTGTTAGGTCTCTCTGCTTCCACTGCAGGGGGCGAGGAACTATTCCTGGTCAGGGAACTAAGATCCCACAATACTGGGTGGCGTGGCCAATTTTTTTTTTTTTTTTTATGTCTGCTATTTCTGACAGGAATTTTTTGATTGCTTTTAACTAGCTGGCTAACTACTAAGACTTCTGAATCAAAAGGCCTAATTGTCTAGGTGTGCAAAATTATTACTAATTAAGTTATCAAGCTTTTATATCCTTTGTATTTTCCTTGGGACATTGTGACGAACTAGAAACAGATATTGCTTTCCCCTTATACTTTTTCCCTGTCTGATAATTAATGACTCTAATTGTGGTGGGCCCGGTGGGGGAGTATTGTTAGATGGTGAACTCATGAGTGAAACTTTGTGGTTTTAGTTCAGATCTCAAATTTTTTCATCTTTAAGGAAGCCCATTTTCACGGATCATGAGGATTTTCTTTTCTGCTCAGAAATTCTAGGATTCTAAGACGGAGAGCATGCCTTACTTTCCTCTTAGTTCCTTTTTGTGATTTGGATAGTTGAAACATTCCAGTAGCCTGGCACTGTTTCCTCCCAACTTGCTCACAGACCTTTTTGTTTTCTCTTGGAAACTGTGTATTTCTAAGTGTTTGAGGTTGTAATTGAGTGTAATTGTAGTTGTTTAACTTTCTCTGTGCCTCTTGAGGGTGTTTATAAATGCCGTCTGTGAGGGTAGAAAGGAACTAGAAACTTCGTGATATGGTCAACTAATATTAAAGTAAGTGGGAATTCTTCTGTGTATATGAAATGAAGTATTGTTTACACTTCATTTGCAGCATATACCTTCTGGCTTATGGAATCTGCTGTAATCAGTTAAGTAATCACCTTCATTAAGGTTTCATAGGAAGCTTTTGAGGGGTTGTTTTGATAGGAAATATGCTAAGAGTAATTTTCCCCCAGTTCTTCTTTTGTACCCTAGGGAGAATTACTGTAGCCCAGCTCACTGGGGCCACCCCCCCATGTGTCATGGTGGGGTGGGATCAGCGTGTTCTGTGTGTGTCTGTGCTTCTCCATGCTCCATTTCCTGCTCGTTCCTCAAGTCAGAGGAGAAGTCCCCTTTAACCTTGCCTATGTTGTCCTGGACCAAAGAGCAGGGAATAGTAAGTCTTTATTTCTGGTGATACTTTCTTCATTTCCTTTAATAGTCTTCTTTGTTATTTCTAACATATGAAACATCCACACATGCCTCTAGAATGGATGCCACTAAATGCAACTATTATGTGTTTTCCATTAACTTCTTTGACATATGTTCTTGCTCTTTCTCATTTTAAGTTTGGGCCTTGTAACTTTCTAGCATGTGCCTCTGAGTTAGTTATTTACCTACTCTAAAGCCTCCCTTTTTTTTGCAAAATGTAGATCCTCATACCCCATGAAAAGTGAAAGTGAAGTCGCTCAGTGGTGTCCAGCTCTTTGTGACCCATGGACTGTACCCGACAGCCTCCTCCATCCATGGGATTCTCCAGGCAAGATTGCTGGAGTGGGTTGCCATTTCCTTCTCCAGGGTATCTTCCCAACCCAGGGATCTAACCCCTGTCTCCTGGATTGCAGGCAGACTCTTTACCATCATAAGATTGTTTAAAGGAAAAAGCAGTTTCTCTTGATGCAAGGTACCCACACAGCGACTGGCACATTACAAGTGCTCAGTAAATGTGAGCTCCTTTGCTTTCTCAGGCTCCAAGTGAGGAAATTCATGGATGAAGAGTGATTAATTTCAAAGACAGCTTATATCCATTCTATTGACATCGCCTTATGGAAATAGGCGAGAAGAAAGAATAAGAGAGTTGAAAGAACAGACAGGTTGGACCTAAAAATGCTTGAAAAGTTGACTTTTTAAAAACATATATGTTAGTGATATTCACTAGTGAACTTGCAAAGTGGACTTTATTGAAAATTGTTTAAATTTAGAAAAGTGAACAGATTTGTTGGTCAAAAGAAAGAAGGTAACACCTTCTAAAGCAGCGTGCCTGGCTGAAAAATGATCTCTGAACAAAGAGAATTGATGGGCATAGATGATCCTAGTTGGAGTTAAAAAAATAAAACACCGAAGGGGGCCTTTGAGAGGGAAAGAAGACACAGGTGAGATGGAGCTGATTGATGAATTGAGATCTGAATACACATAGGTAGTTAGGAGCCGACTCATTGGAAAAGACCCTGATGCTGGAAAAGATTGAGGTCAGAAGGAAAAGGGGGCAACAGAGAATGAGATGGTTGACTGGCAGCACTGACTCAGTGGACATGACTTTGAGCAAACTCTGGGAGATAGTGAAGGACAGGAATCCTGGCATTTTGCAGTCCATGGGGTCGCAGAAAGTCAGACGCGACTTAGTGGCTGAACAACAAGATAGTTGTATGATTAATGGAGGTAGTATATATTTGGAAATATTGAGTAGTGATATAGAGAAAATTATAAAAAGCAGAAAATAGGTTTCAATGGAAACTAAGTCCTTTTCTATCTTAAACATTTAAAGATGAAGTAAGCCAAGTGACTACTAAGTAGGCAATATTTCATGATGAGACTGGGCTAATTATAATAGGTAACAGTTTTGAAAGGGAATCTTAGTGGCTTTCACTGTAAGATTAGATATAGAAAAACATTCACTGAATCATACCTTTTTTGTCATTTGTATTGTTAGAGAAAACATAAGGCTCTTAAATATAGTTTAAATACAGTAAGTAAATAATACATGTTGGTAATTACTGGCCTACACCAGGAAGAGAAAAAATAAATTTGAACAAGTATTTTAAGAGTGGAAAGAAACTTTAGGCATTATAGAATGCAGTTTTCTGAATTCCCACTTAAGAAGGTAAGAGAAAAAAAGCCACCAATTTCAAGCAGAAATTGTTTTTTTTTTTTTTCCCGCTTTCCCTCATTTCCTCCCTTCCTTCCCCCTGACTTCCCTTCCTCTCTTCTCCTTTCTCCAGTCCACATATATTTATTAAATGCCTGCTTTTGTGCTATATGCTGTGGATACAAGGGACAACAAGATTTATATGTATTTTTTTCTTCTTAGAATTTACCTTTTGGTAGTCAGTAAACTTGGGTGTATGATGTTTGCAATATATTTGACCTACTAAGTGTTCAAACCCTGTGAGGCCATGACGGCCTGTTGCAGAACTGCAGCTGGGATGTCGCTGTGTTCGGGTTGTGTGTGTCTGTGTGCAGTTCTCAACAGCCTCCACACCCAGCATCTAACTCGGCCATATTCCCCCAGGTCCCAGTGGCATGTGCTGGCAGAGTGCTGGGTGCAGACTTCTGCCCAAACCTGGAGGAGCCAGACCAGAGGCTGGAAGTCCAGGTCGGAGTCTTACTGTTTTATCAGTCGGGGGTGTTGTGACAGTACCAGGGGTCTCTGAACGCTGAACAGATATATCAGATGTCATCTGGCAGCTGCTGGGACTGAAAGAGGGTTTGGTGGAGCATCTGTGCAGCAAAAAGTCCTTTTCAGGATAAATTGTCTGTAATTAGAGATCGTTCATTTACTCATTCAAGAAGTCAAGACATGGTATATATACTGCAGTGAATAAGAACATGATTTCTGAATGCTGCCTGCCTAGGTTGACACAAGTTGCCGGGAGTCCTATGGCAAGTCACCCAACCTAACTGGGCTTTAGCTTTCTCATCTGTGAAATGGAGATATCCCTTAATAGCTGACTAATGGGGATTAAATGTTCTGACACATACCTAGCATTTAGCACAGGGCCAGGATGTAGCGGGCACTCTGGGAATCCTAGCTCTCATCTTTTCAAATCATTGTTATTATGTGCTGAGAGGATGCTAGGCTCTGGGGACACATGGGCAAGCCAGTCATGCTTCCTGCACTGTAGTCTCCCAGCTCAGGAGAATGGAAGCTGTTCAGCTGGGCACTGTATTAGAAAAATAAGAGTTAATAATATTATCTTTCTTCTTCATGGTTTGGGAGATAGGTCCTCTGGTGTAATATTAAGTTTATTAGCAAAGAACATTTTTCATCAAAGTATTGACTTGGAATTCATTGCGTGGTCTTGGGAAATTAGAAGCGGAGTGGTATGTTGCAGATTAAAAATATAAATATGACATCTTGGCCCAAGGCCTACCTCCGCTGCTGGGTACCTGTTAATAGTTAAGGAATGTGTGTATCAATGATGCAAAAATGCAGGCTCAAGTTTCCACGTGGATGGCACCTCCCTAGCATGAGCACACACGTACTATTTTTTAGGGCCTTTGTTTGGCATCATTTTCTAAATTTTAAGGCTTAGGGGATAAGCATAGTGAGCTCAGTGTTAAAACATTTTTTTCTTTTTTTTTTTTCTTCTTTTTTACTGATTTAGACACCCTGCATGAGAAAAGAGAATAGTTCTTAAAATTGACTTCTTCAAGGTGGGTGTGATGGTGGAAGTGGTGGTCGTAGGAAGTTTCATTTTTTATGAGGCTCTGAAGGGGGACACCATCTTCTGCACACTTGCTCCTGGCCCTGGAACGACCACCTGAGGTCTGCAGTGCCCTATGCGGGTACTGTCTGGGTGGTGTATGGCTGTGATCCAACAGAAAAGCAGGTGTGGCAAGAATGAGACATGATCATACGTTTCCCAGTTTTAGAAAGCTCACAACTTGGTTGTGACACATATGTGCCGAGTGATGGAAGACTTTCCGTGAAGAGTAGTCTGATCCTTGACCCCTTCGGGGTGGGGGGACGAGTGATGTTCTTCAAACACATCACCTGGAATGGTCTGTCATGGGTGGTTGTTGGATAATCTGTTTTTGAACATTGAGTTATGGCGCGAAGAGCGATGGGTTTTGCAGATGTGAGTGTGTGAAATAAACCTGAAAGAGACCAGTGGAACATATTGCTTTGACATGCCAAGGGAGAAAATGTATATTTACATGTTGAAGTGAAACTGTGGTAGTAGGTAGCTAAACATATTGTGGAGTTGACAGTGCTTTGTGAGCCTTGCAAGGAAGACCAAGTTACTGGGTAAAGGAAAGAAAGTGCTCATTTTGTTAGATGCCTCATCTTGCAATAGCATTTTGGCGGACAGTATGGAAAAGTTGAATCTGTGAAAAGATAGTCAACTACGATGCACTGGTGAATTAACTGGGACCCATTTGAATCATTTATTTCTCTCTTTTCCTGTTCCTTTCTAAATATGGCTTTCATACATTCTGTTGATATCTGGTACATATTCATGTTATGTTTGTCATAATAAACTTGAGACTTAATATATTCCTTACCAGGTAACAATTCCAGGAGTAGCTTTTAGCTTAGAGTCCTTTCATTCGTGCCGTGGTATGTGTATTCTGTTTTGTTTTCTTTTTTCCTATCGAGTGAGCCATTTCTTATTTTTTAGTCCAACTCTGCACTCCAGGGAACTAACCGAAGGACTGGCCAGGGTCGTTTACTTTTCCTGCTTGGATCTCAGACTTTCCCGCGGGGCCAGGCATTATAACCACGAGAGGATTTGCTGTTTGGCCTCTTGATTCTGAGAATAACCTCTTGTACACCTCGATTTAGGAGCTCTGGCTTGTTTATATCCTTTTCTCTGAAGGATTTTCCTTTAGACATACGGCACCCATGTATACTTTTGTGTTTTCGCCGACATGAGATCTCAGGACTCATGGAGCCCCTTCCTCCTCTTACCTGTTTTCTTTTAACCCTTTCCTTTGGTCCCCAAATTTCACATGTCTTAGAAGCTTTATTATTTAGTAATCCCAGGATCCCTGACACTCTTTCATAAATATGCTGTTGGTTTTGAATGACTGTCACCGTTGAAGTCTGTGCCTGACTTGACTTTTGTAAGGCTATCTACTTTTTTGTGTGTGTTGACATACTTGATTTAGAGAAGTAGCTGGACAATCCAGACTTTAGATTTGCTGTCTGACTTTCTTGATTTTCTTCAGTGGCTTTTGAAGTGGGTATGAAACTGTGTGCTTTCTTTAGCTCTGGAAGGTTAACTGATGTACAGACCCCCAAATTGTCCTTTTATATAATTATTTTATGGAAATGGTCATTCTCGTTTAGACCTCCCTTAGTGTTAGTTGCTCAGTCATGTCCAACTCTTTGTGACCCCATGGACTGTAGCCCACTACGCTCCTCTGTCCATGGGATTCTCCAGACAAGAATACTGGAGTGGATTGCCATTCCCTTCTCCAGGGGATCTTCCTGACTCAGGAATCGAACCCTAGTCTCTTGCATTACAGGCATATTCTTTTCTGTCTGAGTCACTGGGGAAACCCTTAGACCTCCCTTGGTTGCTGTTAAATATTTGATTTTTAATCAGAAAAAAAAATGATTATTTTAGTCTGACTGTACCTCACCGTGTGTTGTTACATTTAGCCTGGTACAGTTCCTTTCTTGGTTGGAAATGTAAGATGTGGGGTTTGACTTGGTATTTTTCACCACTGAAGTGCTTAGAAAATTAGAGTAAATAATAAACCAATATTTCAGTACCCGATTAGACACAATTTACTGTGATGTTTCATAAACCACAGACTTCTTTCTTCTATGAATGCATGAAGGATCACTTTTTTTTCCCAGACATACCGGGGTGCAAGTGTAAATTTCCATAAAATTTAAATGAGGTGCTTCCTGTAATTAATGAACAATTGTGGCTGCTCTCTAGTCTGCATTGTAATTAACCGTGATCAGGCTTGTTTAGTGATGACACTGTTCCTGTAATAATTTGACAAGCTACTGTGAATTTGCCAGGTTATTAAACAACCTGCAGCATTCGCTTACAGCATCACAGGATGTGCTCGGCTGGTTAAATGCAGCATAAGGGCAAGGCTGAGCCGCCCATTGAAGCCTATCGATCACTAGAAACAGGTTTACATTCCTAGGATTTGGGAAAAGTTGATTAATTTTGCGCGAGTTGTCTGGAAAACTTTTTATTATATGGGAACCCTAATGGGGCGAAACTGGTCATTTTTGTGAACTCATAATGAAGCTAGCAAATTTTATATATTGTTATCATCCATATGAACACCCGGAAACTGAGATTCTCCCTTTCTTCCTCTATTAAATAGATTTCAAACCACCACCACCAAGTCGCTCCCTTCCTGAATTCCCTCCCAGCATCTCTGAAATATAAGTTTGCCTTTTCTTACTGAGTGTGTGTTGGGAACAGCAGATGACCTTGTGCTAAGCACAGTCCTGTCACTTGGCGAGGGAGCCATCCGGGGGGCCGGGGAGCCGTGTCCGTGGTCCCTGAGCCCAGCCGCGGGCCCCAGCCCCCATTCAGGTTCAGGACTGTTCAAAACCTCACTGTCTGGTTACTGTGGTGTCTTTCATTCAGATTCTGTTTATTGACTAAACCACAAGGATTCCTGCCCAAAGTACCAGGCGGTCTATGCTTGACTGATTTTGATTTTCTAACATCAGCCCTGGGGTTTATTTGAAAAATGTACATACACTGCAGCTTTAACAAGTCAAGTGACTGCATGTTTTTGACCATGGAGTCGAGTATATCTGAAGATCATTAAATTTAGAGGGAAGGGGAGGGGTGGAGAATAAGTGTAGTAGTCATTGTACCAGTGCAGAGAGAGGGAGTGTGTGTGTGTGTGTGTGTGTGTGTGTGTGTGAGACACATGGTTTTTGTCTTTTCATCTTCTCCGTCCTGCCTTTCAGTCACTTTCTATTTAGAGAGATGTTTATTAAGGGGACAGGGTCAAAAATGGGTCATGGAGGCCAGTGTAGTAGTCATTGTACCAGTGCCGAGGGAGTGTGTGTGTGTGTGTGTGTGTGTGTGTGTGTGTGTGAGACACATGGTTTTTGTCTTTTCATCTTCTCCAAGAGCCAGAAAGTTTCCTGCCGCTCTCTTTCCAGCTATTGACAAATGATTGCCAGATGTGAGATCTTTGCAGTGTTCTTTCCCTTAGCAAACCTGCAGCGATGGGATATTTGATTCTCCCCTGCCCATTTCATCTCCTTTCCACATCTGCCAGGGACACACAAGCAATACATCCCTACATGGGAGTTTAAAGTTGATTCAGCTCCTTTTTTCCCCTCCGATAAAATGTGTTTGGAGACGACAGAATGAGGTCCATATGACTTTCTCTCAACTTCGCTGTATGAAATTAGTTGTTTATTTTACTTATCTACCTCTCAGTAATTGAACGATTTCATTTTAGTTTTGGTCCATGGAAAATTTGATGCAACTCTGGGAGTGCTTAGAGTTTCCTATTGTTGTCTGCTTGCTGCAAGTATACCATCATCGCGACTTCTCTCTGATGGTCTCAATTCTGATAAAAGCTAGACTGGTGGTTTCCGTGGACTTCCTCAGAAAGTAGTTTTAATAAACAACTGTCAAAACACTAAGTGTA